CAGTAAGGGAGCAAAGATCCTTCCTTAATCTCCCTTAACACCATAGAGTAGGTCCCAACTAGGACTTATGCCCATGCCTGATTGCTTTCTTTAGTTCAATGTCTCTCTGTGCTGTGTCTCTACCCCATTAAACCATCAATGCAGTTACTTAATTCTATTTATCCAATTTTTTGTTGTTGTTAGTTGTGAAGTCATGTCTGACCCATTGCAATCCCATGGACAATGTTCCTCCAGACCTTCCTGTCCTCTACCATCCTCTGGAGTTGATTTAAGCTCATGCCTACTGTGTCAGTGACTCCATCCAGCCACCTCGTTCTCTTTCATCCCCTTCTTCTTTTGCCCTCAATCTTTCCCAGTATTAGGCTCTTCTCCAGTAAGTCCTTCCTTCTCATTGCCAGCTGTGTTTACCTTCTTTTCTAAACCATCCTTTCCATTTTGATTGGCTACTTTGCAGAAGCAGGCTTCCCCCTCACAGCATTTTTCATGGTGGCCAAAGTATTTGAGTTACATCTTCAGGATCTGGCCTTCTAAAGAGCAGTCAGGATTGATCTCCTCTAGGACTGACCGGTTTGATCGCCTTGCAGTTCAAGGGACTCACAGGAGTCTTCTCCAGCACCAGAGTTCAAAGGCCTCAATTCTTTGGCACTCAGCCTTTCTTATGGTCCAACTTTCATAGCCATACATTGCTGATTTATCTGATTACAAGGAATCTAATGAAAAATAAGCAGATCCCAAACATAAAATCAGCAATTCTTTGAATTAATCTAACTAATTAATTGATTAAGATTGTAATACTTTATACTCAGGAAAGATTCTTCTCTCAATTCAGTGGCCTCACTTATTAATTGACAAGCATAGGATGGTGGTTGAAAGGTTATAATGTAATTCCATGGATTTAGAAATTGTAATGTTAGGAGAAAGGCTAGGTCAAAATATTTTGCCCATACCTCAATCAAAAGACAAAACAAAAACAAACAAGGATTCAATTGCATCTGCTTCAGGCTTTTCCTGAGGTCTTAGCATGACTAAATAAAAATATTCTGTCATTACTCATTCCCATTCCCTGTTACTTCTGCCCTCCATGCATTTGGCTGAACATATTGTAGAGAAGATGTACTTGCTTTTTGCTCGAATGTGGTTATAACTCTCAACACAATCTGGGACAGTAATACAACAGGATTCTAAGTTGCATACACACTTCCTCTTCAGTTCTCAACTGAACAGGTGGAGGTGGGAGATACTAGAAGGCTGAGTCAACCTATCCAACCTGATCACCAATTGTTTGTTCAAACAAAGTGCCTACAATAATAGCCAAATTGTGGAAACCTTTTGGGAAAAGTGTATTTTTGAGGTTTGATGGCTAATAACACCACTTTTTTTTTTTTGAGTTTCAAGATAATCGCACTCCACTGCTGGAATGGCCCAGACCTTAACCCAGTTGAAAATCTATGGAGCCGACTAAAATCTCCATTTCTACCCTACTCTGGGGCCAGCCAGAGGTGATATTTGCCACCAATAATTCTCTGAAATACTCAAAATTTCCGCTACCGGTTCTGCAGAACCTGTCAGAACCTGCTGGATTTCACCCCTGATCCCAGGGGAACAATTATATAACCCTGCAGTGGTAGAAAATGAAAAAGAAAAGAGGTAAAAGGTGACCAGATGTGCAAAACATGCTTGTTAGGCATTTGTAAAATTTATACCCTTTTATAAACATAGGTAGAAGAAGTTGAGTTTTATTGTCAAGTCTGCAGTAATACATCTGCTTGTTCTACTAGCCTTTGAAAACTTTTCATTCCCCTTTATCATTTGATATATTAAGGTAAATGTTATTCTAATCATATTAAGTCCATCAGATCATATAATAAAGCATTTCCAGACATATTGATAAATTGGTTGATTCTTTCCATTCTTGCAGTTGGGCTAGGACAGAAAGGATCAGTGGTCATTTGACCTTCATTGTGTATTAAATAAACAACAGATGGCAAGGATTTGATCAGTACATATATTCTTTCTTCTTGGTAGCCATGTTCACACTGTTGCTTCCCACTGAGCCTTTCTTTTTGTTTGTCATGGTGCCAAAGCTGCTTCTATAGTACGTTTCATGCATCACAGCTTTCTAATCTTGTCCCATTAGTTTCATTTTGTTTCTATCATAAATAATTGTCTACTTGCTTATACACTCTTTCGTTGCCTAATAATGATTATTCTTGGCACAAAAGAGTAAAGTTTTTACAAGATTAGCTAGTACAGTTTGTCCATTTAGTAGAGATCCTGCCTGACACCATTTATTCAAAAAGGCAGGAAGCACAGGTGAAAGTTCTCAGACCTAGAAAGACAACAGCAAGCATTCCACCCTCCCAAGAAAAACACAATGTCATTTGAAAGTGTTTTATTCATTAACTTGAAACACCTGTATGGAATAATGCCATACAGGTTAAAGGAAAATATGTAGAATTCCAAATATACAGATGTTAAGGATTGTTGACAGGGAAGTAGCTTATCTAGGTATAAATTCTGAAAAAGCTCCTTTCAAAATATTCATATTTTAAGCCACTGTTTAAATAAAATCAAAGTGTGATTTTATGTAGCCATACAATTAGTTCCATTACTCAATTTCCTAAATATATCTGGAGTGAGGATAGGCAACTTTGGGGAATAGTGGAAAGGTTGTGTTATTTAAGATAAATAATAATAATAATAATAATAATAATAATAATAATAATAATAATAAGTGGAGTGGAGTGGAGGAAATGAAATGAGTGGAGGAAACATCATAAAAGCCATAAATACCTGGGCTATACCTGTGATTAGATACTCTGCAGGAATAATTGACTGGACCCAGATGGAGTTAGACAATTTGGACAGAAAAACAAGGAAGCTTATGACAATGAATCATGCCTTGCACCCTAAAAGTGATGTTGACCGATTATATTTACCAAGAGCAGAGGATGGTCGAGGACTCCTACAAGTAAAGCAGACTGTGGAAGAAGAAAAATGCAGCTTGAATGATTACATCCAGAAAACTGAAGAACCAATGATTAAGGAAGTAAATAAAGGAGGCCTTTTAAAGACAACTAAAACAAAAGCAGAATATAAGAAAGAAGTAATTGAGCAGCGAGCTGAAAATTGGAAACACAAAGCTCTGCATGGCCAATACTTGAAAAATATTGAAGGCAAAGCTGACCAGAAACTAACTTGGAACTGGTTAAGATCAGGAGTACTGAAAAAAGAAACAGAAAGCTTTATTTTGGCAGCTCAAGAACAAGCCCTAGCCACAAACTGCATGAAGACAAAAATTCAACATGTTACCACCAACAGCAAATGCCGCCTATGCAATGAGAAAGATGAGACAGTCGACCACCTGATCAGTGGGTGCAGCAAAATTTCACAAACTGACTACCTACAACGCCATGACCGTGTTGCTAAGATCATTCACTGGAAATTGTGCCAGAAGTTTGGATTTGAGTACAGCAAAAACCACTGGGAACATCAGATTGAGAAAGTTTTAGAGAATGAGAAACTCAAGATCTTGTGGGACTTTAGGATTCAGACTGACAGGCACTTGGTCCACAACACACCTGACATAACAATAGTTGAAAAGAAAAAAGTATGGTTCATTGACATTGCAATATCTGGTGATGCACGAATTGAAGATAAGCAGCAAGAAAAAATCACCAAGTACCGGGACTTACAAATTGAAGTTGAGCGACTGTGGAAAAAGAAATCGTGTGTTGTCCCGATTGTAATTGGAGCCCTTGGAGCAATACCCAAAGGGCTACCCCGCTATTTAGAAATTCTAAAATTGCCGGACTTGAACATTTTGACTCTACAAAAAACCACTTTACTCGGAACAGCTTACATCCTCCGACGATACCTTAACAGTTCCTAGGTCCTTGGTTAGGAGTCGAGCTGCTGAGCTATTAACCAGCCTCAAAGGCTGTGAATCTCACTAAAGATTAAATAATAATAATAATAATAATAATAATAATAATAATAATAATAATAATAAAATAAAAGTTTGGATTTGAGTACAGCAAAAACCACTGGGAACATCAGGTTGAGAAAGTTTTAGAGAATGAGAAACTCAAGATCTTGTGGGACTTTAGGATTCAGACTGACAGGCACTTGGTCCACAACACACCTGACATAACAATAGTTGAAAAGAAAAAAGTATGGTTCGTTGACATTGCAATACCTGGTGATGCACGGGTTAAAGATAAGCAGCAAGAAAAAATCACACAGGACTTGCAAATTGAAGTTGAGCGACTATGAAAAAAGAAATCATGTGTTGTCCCGATTGTAATTGGAGCCCTTGGAGCAATACCCAAAGGGTTACCCCGCTATTTAGAAATTCTAAATTTGCTGGACTTGAACATTTTGACTCTACAAAAAAACACTTTACTCGGAACAGCTTACATCCTCCAACGATACCTTAACAGTTCCTAGGTCCTTGGTTAGGACTCGAGCTGCTGACTTATTAACCAGCCTCAAAGGCTGTGAATCTCACTAAAGATTAAATAATAATAATAATAATAATAATAATAATAATAATAACAACAACAACAACAACAACAATAATAATAATATCACAATTGTGGAGAAGAAAAAAGTGTGGATACATTACCATACCTGATGACAGCAGAATCAATGAGAAACAACTTGAGAAAGTCACCAGACATCAGGACTTGAGAATTGAACTGCAGAGACTCTGGCATAAACCAGTGCAGGTGGTTCCAGTGGTATTCGGCACACTGGATGTTGTACCTAAAGACCTAGGCAAGCACTTAAAAACAATTGGCGCTGACAAGATCACCTTTGGTCAGCTGCAGAAAGCCACCTTACTGGGATCTGCTCACATAATCCGCCGATACATCACACAGTCCTAAACGCTTGGGAAGTGTTCTACTAGTGATTTGAGATATGAAATCCATCATGGTTATCTTGTTTGCTGTGTATACTGTCAAGTTTGAGTATATAACAACAACAACAACAACAACAACAACAACAACCTTTATTGTCACTTCACAACATATGTACAGTGAGATTGGTTGAGATCCCTCAGATTGTGGATATTCTCAAACATAGCTGTAGTTGAGGGAAGGGTAAATGGGTACAAGATTCTCTCTGCCCATCAGCAGGATGGACACTCTGAAAATTGAACAGAATAGGACAATTTTAGTGTGGTTGGAAAAGCCAACAAAGCAAATATTGATTTTAAAAGTAGGATGAGGTGGTCCAGGCAATGGACTAGCAGCTCACAATGTTGTTGATTGCTCCAGTCTTAAGCCCCTTCTCTTTTCCTTCCTGGTGACATGACCTCAAATGGAGCTGCTATTAAGAAGATGGTACCAAGAAGTCACATGCTATATGTTTTCCCCATCTTGTTATTCTTTCCAACATAAGAAAACATTGGGAATTAATTATGTAATAGAATTGGGATTCTGTCCATTAGCACAGTATCTCTTTGAAAACTGAACGTAAGAAGTTACTTTTCATTTGGGGGCAAAAGTCAGCAAAAGAAAATTCAAGTTTGAAAATATATCAGATCAGACTGTGAAAAAGAAAATCTAAGGGAATTCTCCCATGCGTCCCTATGTTGCTGATTCCATAAAAACATTCTTAGAAGGGAGGTTTTACTTGAATGTTTTGTGAGTAAATAAATGGATATAATTTTTTTTTGCAATGCCACTGGTCCTTTTATGTCAGTATCTGATCAGCAGTAGTTACCCTATTAAATAGGCCATATTCAGAACAAAACAGACTGGTCAGTTGTATCGCTGAATGTTCTAATGCTAAGGATATATAGTTGAAACAAATTCATAGATGTGTCCTAATTTACTTGACAACAATATGGGGAAAGTTTACATTAGCCTTTTTCCTCTATTGTCAAAATAGACATAACTAATTTGAGGGAACATAGTAGGAGAGTTATTGTATACTACTCAGCTCCATGAGATTCTTCATCTAAATCAGAGGTTCCCAACCTTTGCAGCTTGGAGGTCTGGCTGGACAGGGGAGAGGGGAATCGGGTTGTGCAAGTGGTGTGTCGGAGCGTATGTGCACGCACACAACTCAACTCACACAAGTGGGTATGCACACGCAGCTCAACAGCAAGTTAAGCTGCATGTGTGCCAGCCTGCCACTCGTGCAAGTAGAGCTGAATGTATGCATGTTCACCAGCCCGCAGCCTGGTTGTGAATAGGCCATGGCCTGGTAGTGGGCCACAACCCAGGGGTTGGAGACCCCCATTCTAAATATTGCAAGCATGTACCTTTGTAGCCATATATTCTGCCAAACCCTCTTTCTAAAACCTCCTTAATTGTTCCTTCTTTGGTTGTTCTCAAAGTGTGTATTCTTTTATTCTTGGAATTTCTCAAACAATGCAAGATATGCCAAACTGATCCCCTTCAGTGTGTATAAATAACAACAATAAATAACCTAAAGAGTTATTGCTGTGTTCTCAGAAAAAGAAAAAAAAAACTTGAAGTAACCCAGGGTTATATGGAGAATCCTTTATGACAACAATACTTCCATAGTTTTGCAATCATTATAGCAGAGGTGGGGAATGATGTCCCCTTTATGACTTGTGGACTTCAACTCCCAGAATTCCTGAGCCAACATGGAATTCTACAGATGCTGTGACCAAACTGATCTAAAACAGTTTGATTTGCAAGGAGATGCAGGCAGAAGAACATATAGATGGCATCCACCAGCATGCAGTATCTAAAAATCTCATTGCATTACCATAGCTTACTCTTCACTGGTTTTATGTTCGTGCAAATATTTCAATCTTTTTGTTGTCATGGTTTGATTAATTAAATTTTGCCTGAAGCTGAAAAGAGGTTGTTTCACTCAGTGTATTATGACTGGGCAAATTTTCATTGACTTACTTTTATTATCTAACTATTTTAGGGATTCAAATGTACGAATATAACATATATTTCTCATGCCAAGGACAGTGAGACAGATTCTGAAGTCACTAATAAATGGGACAAATGAGCAAGTTCATTAGGTTGGTTAACTTCTCTCACTAGCAACTGAGACCAGTGACTTAAATAATAGCAGGAGAGCTATTGTGCAATTTAGCACTTCTGTCCTTTGCTGAATTGTATTTCAGATGGCAATAAATCTCACTTTCCCTATGTTTCATTGTTGATTATGTACAAAAAAATAATCGAAACACAAGTCATTAGAAATAGATTAGCTGGCTTTTCTTCTGATTTTTTAAAAATATTGTTAGCACTGCAATCATTTGTCTTTTTTTTTAAAGCTTTAATTATGGTGAAGTTATCTGGCCATATGTTTTATACCTGTTAACTTGCAACATTCTATTAATATTGATACCAATGGTGATTCTCTGAATGCTAATCTATGCTGAATGTAATGAGAACCATTAAAGCTTAAAGGTGTATCTAAGTTTCTTTAAGCTTTCATTTTTGACTTCCCACTCAGATACATAGGTACTTTACAGTGCTTCCAAGGCTGTGATATCTCTTTAAAAAATAGCATTCCTGTATAGTTTATGCATATGCCAGGTATATTTTAAGAGCCTCCTTTATCATTTGAAAAAGCAGTATTTAACGATGCCTTATCTTTCCAGATTCTGATTGCTGACCTATCAAATTTATTCCTGTATGATCCAGATTGTTTTCTAGAAGGCCTGAATCCAGGGTTCAGTAGCCTGTTAGAGATCTCATAGAAACTCTATACTGACAGGCCAAAAGCCCTTCGACTGCCACTCGATGTCATTAACAATTTTCTAAAGCCCATTACAGATGGGATGGACTGATTAAAACTGAGCTGGGAGGATCTTTTTTCCCAGCTAGAAATCTCCCTCGAGACTTTCCATGCGTGTGAAGTTTCTTGTTGATTAATGGGGATGGGCTGTCCATTCTTCCACCTCTTTCCCCACTCCACTCCATTGCCATGTATTTTATTTGGACAGGAAAGCTAATTTATAATTGGTCATCTGCCTGGATTGGATAGCCAACATTTAAGTGTACATTTTGTAAGGGAAAAAAAAAAGATTTTGAAAACATTTTTAAAATCAAGCTGTGCCATAATCTCCTTTACATTCACCCTAGCTGTCACACATGGGCATTTCAATCATTCTACAACTGTTGGCATAAATGACACCCAATAACAAAAAAAGCTTATATTTCCAAGTTCTCCACCCCTTTCCTGCCCGGCTCCATTCTGCTGGTTATTATTTCTCTCAATGATCGCTACAGCTGGAATATTGTTTTACTGCAAATCTCACACCAGCACTGTCACTTGTGATGTGACACCCAAGATTTTTATCTGCAGCCTGGGTAGGAATTATTAAACATTCTCACATTGTGCAAAGTGTTGAGGCTGAACAGCAGTGCAGTCAGGTGCATCCAACACTTCTGTCTTTCCCACCTGATTCTTGAAATATGACTCCTTTAAAAGGCTAATAGTCACTTGTAGAGAAGTGACAGCATTCAAGAATTCATTTCAAGTATGCTGGAAATACAGCTGGATCCCCCACACACAGACACTGACACACACACAACCGCCCTTCCAATATTATTTCTAATAAAAAAAAACCCTTAGGAATAGAAGAGAAGCTATATTTAAAAATATTACGAGCAATATGTACAAATAATGTCAACAGCAAAACAAGGAAAATGAAAATGTTTCCAGCTAAGCTAGAGACAAATGTGTACATTTTATATCCATCCCCCTCCCCTGCTGTCTTAGGGCTGACATAATATTTTATCATGTTAAAAAAATGTTCGTGTGCGGAATGTCTTTGCATGCGTATGTGTTTTAAAACCTTCTAAATCTCTAATTAAATAGCATGGAAGAGAAGAGCCATACAAATGCTCTCCATCTATTCCAACTATGCATAGGGAACTATGTGATTTAAATCATCTAAATTTTGAAAGAAATCAATAGATACACATGCAAACACAAACACACATATAGGAAATGTAGACCTGACAAAATGATTACACAAAGAAAAACAGGATAGTCTGCCCCATCCTTCATAAGGAAATTAAAAAAAGAAGCATACTTATTTTACCCAGAATTTCTTAGCCTTGACAATACATTTCAAAGGCAAATTCTCTTTTATTAAAATAGCACTTATGTGCTTCCAGGTTGAAAGGATTAGCCGGTGACCTTGGGGGACACCATTGCCTAGGAAACACCCAGTTGGTGTCTCCTTTCAGATCCCTGGCAGGACCTGGAGTAGTGGTGAAATTCAAATTTTTTTACTACTGGTTCTGTGGGTGTGGCTTGGTGGGCGTGGCAGGGGAAGGATACTGGAAAATCCCCATTCCTTCCCCACTCCTGAAAGAAGGATATTGCAAAATCTCCATTCCCTCCCCACTCTGGGGACAGCCAGACGTGGTATTTGCTGGTTCTCCGAACTACTCAAATTTTCTGCTACTGGTTCTCCAAACTACTCAAAATTTCCACTACCAGTTCTCCAGAACCTGTCAGAACCTGTTGGATTTCACCCCTGACCTGGAGTGAAGGAATGGAGCTCACCCTGCCCCACGATGGCACTTGGGTCTCTCACATGGTCTCACTAACCTCCAACCCAGAGTCTTATTTATTTATTTTATTTGTTTAAATTTCTATACCGCCCTTCTCCAATGTAGGACTCAGGGCGGTGAACAGCCAAAGTAAAAACAAGACATACATACAAACATACAAAGTCTAAAAACTGTTTAAAATAATTAAATAATTTTGGCCGTAATTAAAACATTCCAATTTAAAATCCATTTAAAATTTGACTCAAGCCAGCCCAGCTAGTTGGAATAAATGGGTTTTCAGGGCCCGACAAAAAATCCGGAGGTCTGTTATTGTACGTAGCTCTGGGGGGAGGTTGTTCCAGAGGGCGGGCGCCGCCACAGAGAAGGCTTTCCCCCTGGGGGTCGCCAGCCGACATTGTCTGGCGGACGGCACCCTGAGGAGGCCCACTCTGTGGGAGCGTACTGGCCGGTGGGAGGCTATTGGTGGCAGAAGGCGGTCTCGTAAGTACCCCGGCCCTAAGCCATGGAGCGCTTTAAAGGTGGTCACCAACACCTTGAAGCGCACCCGGAAGACCACCGGAAGCCAGTGCAGCTCGCGCAGGAGAGGTGTCACGTGGGAGCGCCTCGTCGCCCCCAAAATCCCCCGCGCGGCCGCATTCTGGACCAGCTGGAGCCTCCGGGTGCACCCCAGGGGGAGCCCCATGTAGAGAGCATTGCAGTAGTGCAATGCATTGCAGTCTTAACTATGTGAGCCACCATGCTCCTTTTATTAAATCAGGAAAAAATACAGACAATTTTCTTCATACTCATCTCTATCATTTTCCAATTTTGAAATACATTAGAGCTGCAGGAAAAGCACTACATGAATAGAGTTATACATGTATGATTAAAAAAAACCCACCTCTATGTATTTTCATAAACTCCCTATAAATAGAATTGCATATAGGTTGGAATTGTATGCATAAAGTCAAAAGTTCTACATGATTAGAGTAATACTCATGTTCTCAGTTAGATAAATATAAGGGAGGACTCATGGAATAGCAAGAATGCATGGCATCTCAACTCATCTGCTGCTTATTACACGCATCAATCAATCTGTTTGAAAAAAGCTTTTTCATTTCCTTCTTCTCATCTCTCATCTTTTCAGCAACTTTCCTGATTTGCCAGACTCTGGACCCTCCCAAAGTATATCTTGCCATCTGGCCAATGCCAAGTTAGACTTAGTGCTTGCTTTGGCAATAACCTGACCGATGCAGTCTTCTTTACAATGATCATCCATCCCTTCAGTGATCAGAGAAAACTTCACTGCCTAAAGAGATCTGTTATTTTAAGAACTGGCAAATCTGAAAGTGAAGAACCCTACAAAAGAGATTGCTTGTTATGTCCTTCAACAGAAGATTGAGCGGGTATGTGCTGGGATCTACTGAATGTGTATTTGACTTACTGTCTATTGAAATTATATTGATTACTTCTAAATGTGGCTTAATGCTAGGATAGGCAATCTCTTTAGCTCTGGGGAATATACTTATTATTATTATTATTATTATTATTATTATTATTATTATTATTATTTATTAAATTTATATTGGCACCTATTCGCCCATGGTGACTCAAGGCGGCTTACAGAATATAAAAACCACATTTAAAACAGTATAACTAATAAAAAATCAAATAAATTAATGTAATAAAATCACCCCTCACCTCCCACCCCAGTGACAGCCAATCACACGAGCCATTTAATGGGCTCCATTCCACTCTGGGTTCTCCAGGCTCACTGGCAGAACAAGGTCTTCAGCGCCTTCCAGAAGAGAATTAGAGTGGGGGCCATTCTAAACTCTGGTGGAATGATGTCCCAGAGAGAGGGAAACCACCATGGAGAAGGCTTTTCTTCTGGGTCCCATCAGGTGTATCTCCCCCAGGGATGGGGCCAGCAGGATTCTCAGCCTCCCCTCTCTAAAGGGGTGGGTAGATGTGACAGGCAAGAGACGATCCCTCAGATAACCTGGTCCCAAGCCATAGAGGGCTTTAAAGGTGACAACCAGCACCTTGAATTGCACCCAAAGCAAATCGGCAACCAATGGCATCTGCACAAAACCATGTGGGCCGCTGCATTTTGCACCAACTGCTCTTCAAGGGCAGCCCCATGTAGAACGTGTTGTAATAGTCAAGACGGGAAGTGACTAAGGCATGAGTGACTGTAAGTAGGGATTGCTGGTCCAGGAAAGGGCATAACTAGCATACAACTCGCAGTTGCGTGAAGGCCCTCCTGGCTGCAACCATCACCTGTTCTTCCTTGTCATCCCTGGCCCAGGAAACCATAAATGGTGTGGTTGATGAAATTGCAATAGCACCAGAGTCAGCAGACCAAACTGTTCTGCCTTTGTCTTTGGGGGGAAAAAAGCAGGCCTTGGATTTTTTTATTTAGATCAGGGTCTTATTAGGAGCTATAGTGATCCACTCTGTCTAAAACTCTGTAGCTTAACTATGTATGATTTACAGCTTTTTTAAAAAAAAAATGCTTATGGTTTTAAAGTAGGAAACTCTGCCAGCTTCTAAAAGGTTAGGGTTGGTTCTTAACAAGGGATCCTATTAAGAGATCAGATTTTTACTTAATAAAGGATGAATTTGATTCCACTCATTTTTGATACTGCCCTTGTTAATCCTCTGATTTATATGTTAGATTTATAATCCATCTTTCCTCTAAGAGTTTAAGGAGACTTAAATAGGTTCACAACAGCAATTTAGCCTCACAACAGTAACCCTTTAAGGTAGGTTGAGCTGAAAATTAGTTTAATACCTATTTTTAAGAAACCCCTATAAACTTGTAATGTGTTTATTTCCAAATATACATATTTTCAATGTGTTTATTTCCAAAATATACATACTTATTATGAACATTTTTGCAAACAATTTTTGTTAGTATGGTATGGGTGGTACATTATTTTCATACAAATATGCACATTTCTGTGCCTAATTTTAATAAACAGATTTAGAATGTTTGTTTAAATAATGAATAATGAACAGCATTTAATAATTTATAGGAGCATTTCAGTTTATATGTTAGATAAAATTAGCTGAAATAATTACTGTTGCTAAAGGGAAGCTTATCATTACTATTGTTCATTACATTTATATACCATTTTTTTTCCTGCTAGAAATCCAAGAGAATTACACAGTTCTCACCACATTTATTTTAGTTACCCTGAAATATAAGCTTGGATAATTTACTAATTTATGTACCACGGCTTGAATGAGCCTCAATTCCAAACAGATCTGAGTAGCTTACTTCCGCCAACAAAATAATTGTAATAAATTAATTATAGTTAAAACAATAAATATATCCAACGACTACCAGCCAACATACTATATAAAAGTCAATTCTCATAAACCCCATATGCTTCCAGAGAAGTTTTGTTGGTTTTGAGGTTCTCCAGCAATCTAACAAGAAGACAACAGATTATTAATTGGGAGCAACTGTTTCATTAAGCCTTCTAAACTATGCCATTAATTTATTTTCTCAGTTCCTATAGATGACATTCCCACAAAGAAGGGACCCTAAACAAAACTTCTTTCCAACTCATACTGGCTAGAGAAAACTCAACCTATCATGTGTGTTCTCAAACATACCTAGGCTCTAAGCCATGTTGGGATTTAAAAGTAATAGCTGCATAACACAGTTAGGGAGAGGAACCTATTCCATCAAACAAGAGAGGGTCCTTGGTGCTCTCTCTTAGCTTGATTGTTTTCTTGCAGATGGTTTATTACCCAACCGGTAAACATCATCAGTGCTAGTTTGGGTAATGAAATGTCTGCAACAAAACAACCAAGTTCAGAGAGCACCAGACACCTCTCCTTTCAACCCTGAGCTACAAATGTTCACTTTTATTGGTTCAGCCAATGATTCATCAACCATTCCTTTGCAGCTTCCAAGTCTTTGTCATCCTCAGGTTCTCCACAGCAAAGTCATCACTAACTACCATCTATTGATGGATGGGAAGAGAATAAAAAAGCAAACTGGTATATGCATGCAATTGGAATGTGGAAGGAGGAATCAGATATTAAAATGCATTTCTTCCCACTTGTGACTGCATGACTGTAACTTTGTTGCTTATATCCTTGCAATTTATATTGATATTGATTGTTTCCTAGTATGATTTGATTGCTTATTGTACTGTATGTCTGTCACTGGGTGTTGTGCATTATGATTCTTGATGAGTGTATCTTGTTTTTTTTATGTACACTGAGAGCATATGCACCAAAGTCAAATTCCTTGTGTGTCCAATCACACTTGGCCAATAAAGAATTCTATTCTATTCTATTCTATTTTTCTATTCTATTCTATTCTAAGACTTGGGAATCCTAAATCCCTGTAAGCAATATTTCTCTTAGTCCAACCAATGTTATACAAAATTGCTACAAGCTTTTAACTTTTAAGAACTTTTCATCAGGAAAGCATGATAGAAAGAAATAAAATAGAAGGTTCTTTTTTTAAAAAAATAAATAAATAAAAGTATCTTGAATCAATTATAGTATAGTTTACATGATCAGATGGTCTGATGAACAATGTTTGCTTAATAAACTTTCCATGGCTGAATAGAATATTTGGACCATATTCTTCCAAGCCTAGTATAAATCTCTAAACATTATACCCCCTTGCGTCCTAATAGTTATATAAGTCATATTGGGTAAGTAGGTAGTAGTTGAGATAGACTATTAAGATTTTAATTTTCTTAGGTTTTATTAATTTTGATTCTCTTAGTACAATGAGATTTGGCGATTTAGAACCCAAAGAAACTGGCCTTATACTAAACATTTTGTCTACTCTTTTTCCACCATTCATATTTGAGAAGTTGTGATATTTTTCAGGTGAACTTCTCACAAGCAGAATTAATTGCTCTGATGTTAATGTGGCCACACAATGCTTCAGATCTGAAAGGAAAAGATGCAATTGCATGTTCAAATGTAGCATCTCTTGGTAAGTATAAACCAAATGCATCCATTCCCAGAATTTCATTACTTTTCTGAAGGGCAGTTGTGAAATCCCAGGGAAAAAAGGAGTTGTGAACAGGTGTTTTGAGAGTGATAGTATGATATCTAAAATCCCTTTTGTTCTTCAGATTCAAACTGTAACATTACTTAAGGTAATACACTATTTGTCTGAACAACTTATGAGTTTTTACCTGTTCTTGTGCCATCAACTCTCTTCCTGAATATTTTATCAGAATTCTCTCTTTGTGATTATCCAAAGAAACCACAGTCTAGGTGGACTTTGATTAATAGTACCTTTTTAAAAGGAATATTACGACTACAACACAAGAACTCTAGTGAGTACTCTATTTTCCAACAAAGTGCTTGTACATAGGCAATTTATGGTAGCAAAAATAGTCAGTTTCTTTTATCTTTTCTGATGTAGCAGAGAAAAAGACTTGTCTCTTTAGTGAAGAAGGATCTGTTTGTTGATGGTTTTGATAAGTGCTAATTAAAAGTGAGAAATAAGTCTCACAGGTATCGTGATGGAATTTTTCCCTTTCTCAGATCAGCCAGGGAGGTTGCAAGAAAAAAAAAAAGGACATATATTTGCATGTATGTGGCAACACCCTTGCAACAATAAAATAATAAAGTGGGGGAAGTTTCTGGAAATTGAAGGAGAGATTTCTGTGCAGTATTAACAAAAATGGATGCAATTTCTTGGTAAAAGTCAAACTAATGATAGATGCATAGGCTGGTTGACTCCTACTGCAAGTCAACAAAGCTGGGTAGAGCTTATAAACAAACACGGACTTTGATCCAAGAGATTTCTTGAGTTTCTAGACTTTTCACAGATTGGATTTAAAAGGGGGAAATATAACTGTTTCTGAGTATTCGGCACATTCCGCTTTGTGGGTGGTAGGGTTCAATTTGTTCTCAGCACTAGCATCAATACTGCTGTTGCAGCTTGCTTTTGTCATCCTAATAGTTTTGTTTCTTATAAACAGTTCCTGTCATTATATTACAGTTGGTTTGACTGAGCTAATATGTCTGTGGAAATTAGGAAGAATTTAAATTATGCTAAAGGAGCTTCTTTTGTTTCTCATATCACGGAAGGAGAATGAGTAATGTGTTATTGGTAATTTTTTTATTATTTGTTCTGCTTGCATCTTTTTTTACCTGTGCTCAATGTATTTCAGATATATGGACATCCTTGTGATCTGGTTCCTGGGGTGAGTTCTCCATGTGGTTTCTAACTTTACAGTCTTTGGGGGATATTTAGCTACCTTCATGAATATTGAGGGAAGACTTGCCTATCAGTGAATTTAAGAGAAGACACAAATATTTGTGACAAAAATTGACACTTGTTAGAGATGTTCCTGAATGATTGATAAGATGAGACATCAGCCAACAAGGAGAAGGATACTGCACTTGAGCGAAAAATATACAGAAAGGAGAATACAAGTTTGGGGTTAACTGAGTCCTAGGGTGTACATTGAACATGTTACAATGACATCTACATTATTTGAACAATTGTGGGGAAGCTTGAATCACTCACCTCTGAAAGACAGGAATAAAAGTGTGATCTCCTATCCTCCATTTACATCAGAATGCAGTCTATTGAATTATAAGGTAAAGACAAAGATAAGTTTGATTCAACCATGAGGACTATGTGGATACAATCACACAGATTTCTTGACAACAATACCAACATGGTTTACCACTGCTTTCTTCTCAGTTTTTTCAACTCCCAGTTTACAATGTTGTATTCCCAGACAGTCTTAATTCATTAAATTGAAATCAGCTTGCTACACTGCTAGAATGTAGAGGATTGCTGTCCATCAGTACAAGTCTGTACCACACCATCTAGCATGAGAATAAGCCCTATCAAATCAGTGGAATTTATTTCCAGGCAAAAATTTGTAAGAGCTGTGCATGTTTTTCAGAGGTAGTTTAAAATATAGCTCAAGGTTATTATTTAACTAATTCCTTTTTAACCTTAATAATTGTTTTTTATCTATTACTTAATTATTTCGTATATTTTAATTAACATTGTTTTGTATGAGATGCTTCTTGCATTTTAAATTTACCATTTATAGATGGTACAGAGATAGTTAAATAGGTGGTTGTTGATACATAAAATCCATGCTTGATTTGATTATTATTATTATTCAGGTAAAGGCAGTTTATCAATATAGAAGATAAATGAATTAATGTTTACAGCAACATAGTTGATTAAAAGGAGGAAAAATGAAATATTGCTTCTGCTTTAATAGCTAATTAATGTTTAAAGGCTACTTTTTAATTGAAATGAATGACAAACTTTTGCCTACCCAGGATGCAGCTTGCAAATAGATGTACAGCAAAGTATATTCCCTTTGTTAAATATGGAGTTCTAATGTTAAACTTCAGCTGAGCTTTATTTACAATCTGCATTTTATTTAATGTTATTCTTATTGTAGATCAGGCTTATAATAATACCAGCAAAGATTTCCAATTCTACTCTTTTATTCTCTAAGAGTTCTACCACTCAACCTTCTTGTATTAAATTCCATTTATGAAATTATCTTTGAATGTGTATGAACCAAATTTCCTTATCACCGAACTGAAATTTCAGAAATTAATGTTACCCAATATAATTCTATTTTGACTCAATTCATTTTTAAATGCCCAGTGAGATCCTCTCTATTGTTATTATAATAACAAGCAGGAAAATGTATGTCATAAGAAATTAATACTTCTTGGCAGATGATCATACAGTGAAGCTACAGAAATTACAAGGAAAAATGAATATTTTGACAAACTGGAAGTATCAAAATAGTCAGAAAATAGATGCCACAGAAAACTGAATGCATTTTTATTCATTTATCTGGATTGCAATGTTCCTGAAAAATAAAATCAAATAAAATATTTCAGCCTTTGTGACATGGTTGCAATTTTTCAGGTTCAGCTAAACAGGTAATAATAATAACTTTATTTATTATCATTGTACGTGTATACACAGTATACCCATACAACGAAATTCACTTAACACCCAAAGGCCAGGTCCAACACACGTAACAATCCCCAAACACACCCCCACCCACCACAAATTCCCCACCCCTAAACCACCCAAACATCCACACAACAGAACAAGTAATGCTGTCCAACAGGGTAGGTCTAGTTTCAACTCTGTTTGAACTAATTTGATTTTTTCTTTTTACTTTTAATAGCATTTTAAAAAGAGAAGTTGGAGAAGATTCTGCACTGATTAAACCTAGCTAGTTAGAGACCGTTACAGAACTATAAATTAGTGACATGTGATTATATGATAACTTCATTAATAGCAAAAGCACTTAGACTTATATACCGCTTCACAGAGCTTCTAAGAAGTTTACAGAGTCAGCATATTGCCCCCCAACAATCTGGGTCCTCATTTTACCAACCTCGGAAGGATGGAAGTCAACCTTTCATTTCATTTCATTTTATTAAATTTGTATACTGCCCTACTCCCGAAGGACTCAGGGCGGTGAACAGCCATAAACCTTGAGCTGGTGAGGATAAGTAAGTACGTTAGAGGACAGAGAAGGCATTTTCTTGACAACCAGCTAATACTGCTTGACCTAACTCAGTACACAGTTATTTTTCATGTACTTACACATAACTAGTCAAATGAAAATCAGGTGCCCATTGGGATTCAAAGTTGATTTTCCAGGCAATGGAAATTGGATCCATACTGTGTATCTCTCTGTTCATACAGTTTCCATCTACTTTCATACTAAAGATGTCTGGGGATAATATTTTTAACAACTTGCTTCCTTACAACTTCACAAAATACAAGAGAGATCAGAAAGATGGAAATTAAGGAAGAAGTATTTCTGAAGTCTGCAACACTAGTATCATTTTTTAAAAATCCACCAAACACTACTGGTTCATAAAACACTTCAAATCTAGAACCCCAAAGTGAGTATTATTATTTTACACAAGTCACATTTGTTTTGTTTGATACAATTTCCAAGCTATCAGTTTATTCAGACAAAACGATTTACTATTAAATTATTAATAAACAAAAGATATAACAATTCTCAAATACAGTTACATACAGAACAACTGGATAAGTGATAGTTAAAGAAATAGAAGTCTCAAATACAATGATTATTAGCATGTTTTTCTTTTAAAATACAAGCTTTAAGAAATAAAACTTCTTTTTTGCAGTTTATTATGAGCAAGTCATGTTCTATTTTGTTTCTTATTCTGTTCTAATGTGCTAGAATTTGTTGGCAATGAAGCATAATACTTTCTACTTTAGTTATACAGATCAGATCTTCTGTGATGTACAAATAGTCTAAACATGTAGATGTTTTGATGTACCACCTACACATCACTTGTAACATTATCTTACTGTGTTGTGTCATTCAGATTCGATTTAATTTGCTGTTTTGCTACCATTGTTTTGAGATATTTGAGTATGAAGTAATTTCTCTGAAGGTCCTGAACTGAATATATTTAATCACTGAAGAAATTATAGATGTTATTAATAATCAAAACAGTTTTGAAATACAGGGCTGCCAGACTTCTATTAGGTATAACTGAGCTCATACATCTGAGTAATATTGCAGCTTTTGAATAGGATGTTATGAAAACTTGCTAGTTTTAAGTCCTGAACATCCATGGATCATAGAATCTTGAAAACATCATCATATAAACCATGGTTTGAGAGTAAATCACAATGCTCTGACACATTTTTCCTTAGAAGGACATGCTAACTGTAGAAACACAGTTATAGCAACAGAACTCAGACTTATATATTGCTTCATAGTGCTTTACACCCTCTCTAAGAGGTTTATAGTGTCAGCATACTGCCCCCAACAATCTGGGTTTTTACTGACCTCAGAAGGATGGAAGGCTGAGTCAACCTTGAACCAGTCAAGATCGAACTCCTGGCAGTGGGCAGAATTAGCCTGCAATACTACATTCTAACCACTGCACCACCACATCTCTTATGGACATTCTTTCCCATAAAGTTATTTGCTGTTGTTATTTTGTTTATTGAAAGTGTACAAAGCTGAATTATTCAAAACACTTTATAAGGTTCACTCAATTAAAAAACGTGATGTTAAACGGTTATGATACAGATTTTTAAAATTGCATTACGGGAAGGAAGGAAGGAAGGAAGGAAGGAAGGAAGGAAGGAAGGAAGGAAGGAAGGAAGGAAGGAAGGAAGGAGGAAGGAAGGAAGGAAGGAAGGAAGGAAGGAAGGAAGGAAGGATGGAAGGAAGGAAGGAAGGACTGAGTGTAAGGACATAGAGAGATGCTTTCAGAGTTGGTTGTAGCAGGAAATAAAATGTGGGGATTGTGTCAGGAGCATATCATGGAATAAGGGGAATAACAATATGGTACTGGACAACCAAACAAAATAGGTCATTCACAGCCTAAAACCTTTTGATGTTTTAAGATTCAATGAAGGCATTCAGTGCTAAGACAGAATCAAACAGCCCATCATCTATAAAACTTTTGTGCAAGGAATTTGGAGCATCTTAGTTTTTGTCTTGAATAGTTAGACATCTTAAATCAGCTTTGGCTGCCTAGGAGTATGAATCACAAATAAAAACTTTTGAGAAGTGCCAAGTGAAAAGTAGATTGGGATGACACATAGGCTATAATCATTAGAAAGAAGGGGGGGAAGATACTTCTCATAGAAAGAGAAAAAAAGAAGGAGGATAGATTAGCAGAGCTGTTTTTCAAAGATCTACGGTATGATGGCAACATTTCATCCAACATTCTTCCTCCTCCTAATTAATGCTTAAGCTCAAGTTCTTGCACATACTGCCATAATGAATCTGTTATTTTATTCAAATACTGGTTGAAAACTAATAGGATTCTTTCCAAATCAAGAAGTATCCATAAACTGCAGGCACATTTTCCTCTCAAATGTTATTAAAGGAAAAAAAGTGCAGATGGCACCACAAATAAATGACTGTCATGCACTAGGATCTTTTCTATGCAAATGACTAATACATCAGCACAATTCTGCCAGAGCAACAGCAAGTGTCTGCCAAAAAAGAATCATATCATAATCAGTGCGTGTTCCTGATTGTTCACTGTTTGTGACACATATGGATCCTTTGAAATACAGAACACCTACCTAGAGAAACAGTCCAATCATTATGCATCATGAACTTTTGCATGTGTTTAGAATGTTTTAAGGAAACTATTTGGTCTGCAATAAACAGACATATTTTCTCAGTGTCATTACAGCAATAGCTGTGCAAAAAATAAAAAAGCAATAAACAAGGCTGGTGTAGTTGCTATGCTTAAACTTGCAAATCTCTATACTTGGAAGGCATGTTAACGCCACAAAATAATGGATCAATAATCCATTCCATATCTCTCTCTCTCTCTCTCTCTCTCTTCCTCTCTCTCTCTCTCTCTCTCTTCCTCTCTCTCTCTCTCTCTCTCTCTCTCTCTCTCTCTCTCTCAGAAGAGAGATTCATCCCCATTACTCTAAACAGTAGTTTCATAATAAAAAAATGTAAAGATAGTGTGAATTTTTAACTTTTTATGAATTGCATTCATACTGCTTGAGAAAGCCACTGGGAGTCTTTGGATATGACATCAACATTGATTCTCTCCATCAATAAACAGGAGGCAATACTATCAATATTGGCTAATTTAAAAAAAGAAAAGAAACAGTTTTTTTCAGTAGAATTCCAAATTAGTTTACTGGGGGAAAAATAGAGAGTTTCTTATTCTGTAATATATTATAGATAAACATTAGGCGACTAATTCTAAGAGCATTAATAGTTATGTCTTCAAGTAATTCTGATTTCAGTTTCTTTCTGGGAAAGTGTTATCAAGGCTAACAGCCAAGTTTTCAGGGCTTGGTATAGAAATGTTTTCTTCCTTCTTTACTATATAGTAATGATAATAATAAAAAAATTAAAAAAAAAGGAAATAGAATGATACATCCAAGAATCTGTGCATCTAAGATAAGTAAGTATCTACTGAGCTTTAATTTAAGTTAATTTAAGAAGTTTGGGAGTCTTTGGGTATGTGAAGCAGTTGTGGTTCCCAGAATCTTGTACAGATTCTGGGAGCCAGTAATGTCATCTATCATGGACAGTTAATAATTGATAGCACATCATACAGCCTTTTCTGCCAATGCCAGGAGCAACCTCACTTTCCATTCTCCACTGTCCTCCTGAGTTGGTTGCTATCCTCGTGTTCTGATAAGATGGTTCTGAGAACAGGGGTGGGCTGCTGGGGGGTTGCAGGGGTTCGGCAGAATCTCTAGCAAAGATTCTGTGCAGTTCAGAGAACCCCAAAATCCCACTCCTGGCTGGCCCCACCCCACCCACCCCATCCCGCCCCTCCCAGGAGTCCCCATGCAGCCCATTTTGGATGCAGGTAAGTGCAGAGTACACGTGGAGGCTTGGGGAAGGTGAAAAACGGCCCTACTGGAAGCTCAGGAAGGCCAGAAATGAGCCCGTTTCCAGCCTCCGGAGCCTGGGGAGGCCATTTTCATCCTCCCAGAAGCTCAAGGAAAGCCTCCGGAGCCCAGGGAGGGCAAAAACACCCTGCCCCCACCGTGGTGCAGGAGGCGGACTAGGCCACGCCCACCATGGCCACGTCCACCCAGCAGCAGGACAGAGAACCCCTTGCTAAAATTTTTGGAGCCCACGCCTGGTTGAGAAGACTGTTCACTATTTTTGATGTAGTGGATTAAATTAAGTACCCCTCTGGAAACTGCAATATGGATCTGTCTAAATATGGTGTGATTTATTTAGATTATATTTTACTTCGTAATAACTGTTCAGCAACAAAACAACTAGAGGTGGCATTAATGGAAATACTGAAGCATGGAGAAAATATCTGTTAGTTAATTATCTTTTAAAAGATCACAGTCTATAAATTGGATGTTTTTCAGTATTTGATTCTCCTGAGTAACTAATGTCAAGGTCAATATTTTCAAGTATCACAAAATATATATAGAAGAAAAAGTTGAGATCTGAAACAAAAGGTTATATATTCTAACTCTCTGCTATGTCACGTGTAACCATCATAGCTGCCCACTTATTTTAAATGTTAAATTAATTTGTTCTGTCAAACAACATGCTGTTTTTTTTCCTTAAGTGAAATGGCCTCAACGGTCTCCATTTTAATTTGTGCATATAAACTCTGAATCTGATAAACAACCATAACAGAAGAAGAAGAAGAATAGGGCGTGTATGTATGGAGGCTTTTATTTTTCACTTAACTGTACTCTTATTTCAAAATCACTTTCACAAAAGGATCTAGCAACAAGTCAAAAATTTGGAAAGATGAAGTACCAGTTATGCAGCCCACCAAAGCATTATCTTGGTCCTTCTTCATAATGGGCCATTCTGGTTCATTAGGAACTCCAGCCATTGTTGAAAATTGACAAACTCCCATGATTTTCTGTTTCTATCTATCTATCTATCTATCTATCTATCTATCTATCTATCTATCTATTTTCATTGAGACCCACTTGTCACCCAGTATTCCTGGAATGCTCAGAGCACTTGCTGACTTCTAAAATATTACACAATTTCTCTTATTTCTTTATCAATCAGAGTTGTGACAAAGCAATCACCACAATTTCACGTGTATTTCTTGAACACCAAAAGTTCATTCAAAACATATGTTGGTATTTCAGCATCCAAGGCACGCCCTTGACTCAAGTTTTCCAGGATGGCTCTTCCGTTTTCTTTTATAACATTATAACTGAGAAACACCCCCTCCCCTTCTCCCTAATATAACCAATCTTGAATGTTTAATTTCTTAAAACTGTATCTGGAAGACTTCCCAGATCATACATCTGTTATGCTAATTGGCAAAGGATAAAGCTGAAGAAAGAAAGACTGGGGAGGATCACTGTCCTTCTCTCTTCCCAGGCAAAAACAGAAAGCCCCTCCCTGGCAGAAATACAAACTGGAACACCTGTATGCCAAACACGTGGCACCTGCATTGCAACATCGTGATCCGTGCCACTATTGCCCCATAGGAAAAGAAATGTTCCCTGTTAATTGCTTTTTCTCACCTGGAATGTGAGCCAGTTGATAGAATCTAAGGCAGTAAGGAAAGGACAACAGACAGCATTTTGGAACAAAGAGCCGGCCTTCCTCTAACTGCTGCTCTAACCTTCTTTCTGTTTTCCTTCAACTAAAACAGCAGTAGATTTAATAGTGCTACATCCATCGTTTATCAGTATAAGAGACTTTGGCACTCTTGTTTTTCTTCTTGTGGGCTTTGCCACTGACTTCTAGTCTATGCCTCCCTTCTTCTTTTCTTCCCTGCCCTCTGGCCACATGTAATCCTCTCCTTAAATTTCTACAGTCTTCCTTTTGCAGATGATTCATTTGGATCTCCAAAATGAGCAATGTACCAATTTTCCAGCAACCTGCTGTGCAAAGAAGAAGGCATACAGAGAGAAAGGGATGTCAAAAATAAGTCCTAGGAGAAAAGGGAAAAGGCAGAAAAATAGGTGGTCACTACGATTTACCTATTGTCAACTTATTTCTGTCATTTGAGAGGGCCCTCCAAGATTATCTGCTTGTCCAGGAATAGGGCCTTGTACGACATTTAAAGAAGCTCCCTATATCTGCTTCAAATTATGAAGGGACATTTCACCTTGAAATTTAAGGGAGATGATGGTTAGATCTTGAATACTGTGGCACATTTCCAAGAAGCGTATTCACCAAAACCATTGAGTTTTCTTTGAAATGCCAGGATGACATTGTTGCTTCTGCTGCTGCTTGTATTTTATCCCCTCCATTCTATTAAAATACTCCAGGAGAGGAACAGTAACTATCTATCTACCTTCCTTCATATTTACACACATATAATAATTGTTTGTTGATTATGTGCAAGTTGGCAACCATATACATTTTTTAAATCTCTCCCTAACCAGGTCCTTCTGGTCTTCCAATGGTGGACCTGTCAACATTGTAACCGAGTCCATGCTGATTGTCCTCTTCTCTTTCTTTCCCTTTCCCAACATTGAAGCTTTCTCCAGGGAGCTAGGTCTTCATATAATGTATACTACTCAAAAAAATAAAGGGAACACAAGCAGAAGACATCCAAGATCTGAATGAATGAAATAGCCTTATTAAATACTTTGTTCTTTACATACAGTAGTTTATACACTGCTCAAACAACTAAAGGGAACACAAAACTACTGTATGTAACAAACAAAGTATTTAATAAGGCTATTTCATTCATTCAGATCTCGGATATCTTCTGCTTGTGTTCCCTTTATGTTTTTGAGCAGTGTATTTGAAGCAAGATAACTTGAATCTGGTCATTTGTGCCTCGATCCATTTGTTAGTGTTCTTGACTGTCTGTGGTATTCTCAGGAGCCTTCACCAATACCAAAGTTCATACATATCAATATTCTTTCTATTCTGCTTTTTCAAAATTCAACTTTCACATTCTATAGAGTGTCGCAGGAATACCATTGTTTACACTACCCTGATCTATGACTATATATGCATTGTTTTCCAAGGCATTCATGTTTGCTGCACCAAATACTAGTCTGTGGAATATTTCTTGGCTGCTGATTCCTTTACTGGTGATGGTTCATCCTAAAAGATAGAAGCTATCTACCAATTTGATATCTTCATTCGTTTGATCTTCTTTATATTTAACTTTAATCCCATTTTTTTCACTGGGTTCCTTGACTTCAATAATTTCCTGCAGATTTTTTTTATTTTCTGTTATCAGAGTATTATTATCACCATACCACATTATTTATATTTCTTTCTCCAATTTTAAAACTACACACATCTTCTTCCAATCCAATCATCATTTGTTTAAAAAGCATTTACATTTCCCATTGGTATTTATATTTTCCTCAGTCATTTCTAAAAGCCAATTTGAGAGATCCAAAGTGTGGTAAAAGAGAAAAACTTAAACGTGATTGATTTTTTTTAAAAAAGTATATAGTTACCATTTTGAGATTTCATTTTCTAGATTTATCTGCAATTAATTATCTGTTGTTTTTCTAGTATATCTATGTGGATGCCTCATGACTTTCTCAAATGCAGGATTTTTCATTTCTGTTTCCCAATGGATTTTTTCAAGTAATATTTCCACCTCATAGTTGATTTAGCTTGGCCTTGTCTATACATTTAGGTTCCTTCCTTTCATATTTTAACTAAAATATGTCACTTCTCACTATATTACATTGTAAAACAAATGATCCTTTCCTCTTTATTAAAACTCTGGCATTAAGCCTGGACCAACATTCCTCCCATCACCCAGTTTCTTGAAAGAACATATCTCTTTCTGAAAACAGGCTTTACGTTCTACTTATTTTCTATGGGCTCCTTTACAAAAAAAGGTTGGAAGATTTTTCAGGCCATTGCTACATATTTATCTACAATTATAAAATGACCAAGTGGGGATTTTTTTTTTTTGCCTTTAAAACTTTAGTAACAATTCTACATTAATGTTCATCCTTCTCCAAAGCAGGTCTGCATAATTTTGTAGAGGGAAAAGGACCACATTAATGGAGTAAATATCATTGGGGGGGGGTGTCACAAAGGAATGCTTAGCATCATCCCAAATCAGCTGCTTGGTGGCTAGTGCAGCTGAGGCATCAGTGAGAATTAGAGGTGCTCATCTGCATGTCTTTCAGTGCAGCAGTGGCAATGAATGTATCAGAGGTGGGTTTCAGCAGGTTCTGACCAGTTCTGGAGAACCAGCAGTGGAAATTTTGAGTAGTTCGGAGAATCGTAGTAAAAATTCTGACTGGTCCTGTCCCCAACTATTCTCTGCTTCCCAAGTCCCGGGTGATTGGGAGGAAATGGGGATTTTGCAGTAATCTTCCCCTGGATTGGGGAGAGAATGGAGATTTTACAGTATCCTTCCCCAGCCACACCAACCAAGCCACACCCACCAAGCCATGCCACACCCACCAAGTCACACCCACAGAACCGGTAGTGAAAAAAATTGAAACACACCACTGGAATGTATTAAGTTTAAAAAATGCCACTGGGCACCAGAAGTCTGTTATGTTGTGAAGGCCTCCTGTAAAGCTTGTCATTTCCTGTACTTCCAAAATGCCAGCCTCAGTCATGACAAATTGTGTACCAAGATGTGATGATGCAAGTTTGCACTTTCATACTTATATCAAGACATGATTACAAAGATATATAAGGACAGGTGGTCTCTTTGCCCTTTCCTGACTCCACTGGGTGGGGTCCACAGGAATCCATGGTGGCAACAGCAACCTTTTTTTAAAAAAATGATGCACCATGCAGCATGTTACAATGCTAATTCTTCCATTTACATATTTACATGCAATGGCTCCGCACAACTACAAAAGTAGCAGAATTTGTATCATGATATTGCAATGCACGAGTCATTGTTTTCCTTCTGTTACAGATGCTCATGCAAAGACTTTTTCATCTTATTAGAATCTACATTGTCATATAATGAATTACCGTTATTACTGATAACTATGGAGCATCAGCCATCCACAAATCTGTACTTTTCTATTTCGGGCAGCAGGTATATTTTATTTATTGCATATTTCAGACAACTCACATTTACAATTGCTTACTGCCTTGCTCGGGCATATTAAAAGCCTATCAATTTTATTATCAAGAGTCAAATCATGTACTTCTAGATATCCATAAATATAATATGAAGCTGTTGTTCCCCACTAGGCTGTTTAATATATGAGGTCAGGGTAGAATATATCTGAAACCAGTGGCATAAGAAGGAAAGAGATGATGTGAAGTGGACTATTCACTGCAGAGGGAGAATACTGTATATAGTTAAAGAAACTTCAATCTAGACCAGTGTTTCTCAACCTTGGCAACTTTACGATGTGTGGACCTCAACTTCCAGGATTCCTCAGTCAGCATGCTATATTATTTATTATAATACATTATTATCGGTATCCTACTTTGCTTATTTATATTTTTTGTCATTTCTTCCGACAGCAAAAAATGGGCATTTGAACATTTATTGGCATATGAAAGTTATATAAGAACATAGACAATTATGTACTCTGCACACATTTACTGGAAGAGGAAATTGTTCAGGTCTAATTGCAACTAGAGCTGGACACCTAAAGGTAGAGAAGCTATGCATTGCACAGGAGTTTTGTCTATTGTTTATAATTTCTTCCTGTCTACCATTAAATTTATGGTCATCTTCCTTGCAACTAATATGGTTATTTAAAGAACTAGCTCATTTGTTCCCTTCTACGTGGTAAGTAGTAGAATGTATATGCATTTCACTTTTCTTTTAACATGAATACAAAAAAAAAGGGGGGGTAAAAGAGAAAAATCCTTCCTAATTCTGAATCTTGTTATAAATATCACCCATATTCCAGATGCTGCTTAGCAAAATTTCATATTTAGTAAGATGCGATTTTCTGTTTTTGAAGTCAAATTTAAAACTTTGATACATAGTTTTTGTTCTTTTGAGGTGGTGCACTGAAGATGAAAACCAGTGCGTGTAAAGCTTTGGCTGAAGCAGTAATTTGACTCATATGTCTGCCTGAATTAACAGCTTGCTTCAGGATTTGTGTGTTTTCCCATTGACCATAATGGCAAACTCAATAAACAGCTATAATTTCAATTAGTTCAGACAATATCCATGCTGAATCACAAATCTCATTGAATTGGTCCAATTCGATTTAGGATGTTTCAGAAGGAAATACAGCCCCTTGATTTCTATTCCCCCCCCCACATTTGTAGTATATATAAAATATAGAACAATAGAGTTGGAAGGGACCTTGGAAGTCTTCTAGTCCGACCCCTGCTTAAGCAGGAGACCCTATGCCATTCCAGGCGAATGGTTGTCCAGACTCTTTTTGAGGGAGATAGAACACCCACAATTTCTGACAGCAAACTATTCCATTGATTAATTGCTCTCAACATTACAAAATTTTTCCTTAGTTCTAAGTTGTTACTCTCCTTGGTTAGTTTCCATCCATTGTTTCTTACCTTGCCTTTTGCTGCTTTGGAAAATAGTTTAACCCCCTGGTCTTGAAGGAGCCCCTCAAATATTGGAACAGTGCTATCATGTTGCCCCTAGTCCTTCTTTTCATTAGACTAAAATACCCAATTTCTGTAAGTGTTCTTCATGCATTTTAGCCTCCAGCCCCCTAATCATTTTTGTTGTTCTTCTCTGCACTATTTCCAGAGTCTCAACATCTTTTTTGTATTGTGGTGACTAGAGTTGGATGCAGTATTCCAAGTGTTGCCTTACTA